AAGCTTTTTCACAGATCACAGTAAGCCGAGATTGTCCCTCAAGAGGATGATAGGGCAAAGAAGAATTGGGGCACCTTCCCCCACCATTTTCTTTTTACAGTCAAGAAATAGGCAAGCTTCTCTTTGGGTTCTCTTAAGAGTTTGTCCTGGGGTTCTTGGCCAAAAAAACGAATCCTGGCTTCAAACCTTAGCCAGCAGGAAAGATATTCCTCTTTGTAAATGAATTAATATGTATACATTCAGCTGCATAGCTGAGCATGGGGAAACACACACACACACACACACACAAGGCCCTTTGTTTTTTCTCAGAGTTGACATAGCTGCTCTTCTGGATATGGATTAAAAATGTTTCTCTCCCCCCCCCCCCCCCCTCTTTCTGTTCACTGACAATGGCAGACTTCAGTTGAACCATAGGGGAAAATCCAGCCTGAATTTAGTTTCCTCAAAGCAGAAAGAAGCAACCTTGAATTTAATGTGCACCCGAGGTGTAATTTAGCTGCTTAAGCTCCTTTCACACCCCAGAAGCTTTCCAGCATTATCTGCACTCGGAACAACAATTATTCTCTGTGATTAAAATGTCAGAATTGGGAAATGACACCTGCCACTTTACTCAGGGCGGACAAATTTTGTAAAGTTAGGTGGGATATTTTTGCTTTCAAAGAAAACCATGTCCTGGACTGTTAACCAAAAATGCATTGCAAAAACTGCCGGAAGGGGCCATTGGTGCTGGCCCTCTGGGTTCCCAGCTTTAAGGCCTGACCTGGGAGGGAAGGCGTTGGCCATCTGGGAAAGTGCAGAGTGACGCTTCCTTCCCGCTCCTTCCTGCAGCGAGCGGAGCTTCTCGGATTGTCATGCTTTGCTCGCCAGCATTGCCAGGTTGCATGAGGAACGTGATGGCAGCAGAGCTGTTACTAATGTGGGATCTAGTCTGGAACAAAGGCGAGGGTGGCTTCTCGGGAAAGCAGCTCCCTCCAAAGTGGGCTTTGTGCGCCTGAAAGATGTCAGGGTAGCATCAGAGCCTCAAGAACTTTGCTGATGAACCTGGATGAAAAGGTCTCCATCCCTGTCCTGTGGAGGGGAGGCAGGGCACAAAGATCTGTGGTTGGAAGGGAAACGGAGGGCGGTTCTAGACTTGGGAAGGGCTGGCATCCTGGCCAGTTGACTGCTAGCGAATCTGCGATCTTCGTAACTCTGCAGCTGGTAGGTCAGCCAGGTTTGTGTGTGTGTGTTGTTTAGCCCCAAACGCCTCTTCCCAGAGAAGAAGGGTGAGGGGCTGCTGAACCAAGTCCTGACTGGGAGAAGGCACACCTGGTCGAACTGATGCTGCCTAACCCTAATCTATTGTGGCTGTTTCCCACTAAGTAGCTTTTATTCAGCTGCTTAACAAAGATCATATCAGTGTCACTAATGCTCAGAACTTGGATTGCAGAAATGGCTGTATGTGGAATGTCAGTCCTGCAATGCAAAGTGAGCCAAGCCTTTCCTGATTGACATCAGTAATGTGCATATTGTTTTTCAGATCTAAGCCTGACCATATTAAATAGAACCTCCCCCCAAAAATTTGCATGTGATTTGCAATTTTACACACCCTTATTATGAAGGAGCCCAACTCAATCCATGTGACTTGTTCCTGAATTTACATGCACATGGCATTGTGCTAAAAGGGGGCAATATCTCCCCCCCCCTCCATTAAATGTTTGCACCGAATTATATTATTGCTGGTAGTTTATTTTTAGTTCTTTTTGCTCATCGCTGCAGAAGTACCAAGATTAAACGGATTGCTGGTTCTGATCCTGGTGGCTCATAGGTTTGGCACCATGCAAAGGAATAAATCTGAACTTAATTGGTTGAATGAAAACCCGATCAAGCTAATTAGCCTTGAGCGCTGACAAAGATGTATTCAGATACGCGGAAGCTTGAAGGCCGCCTCTCCAGTGAGAAATGCAGAGTGATGCATGCTGAAGGTTTTTTGTAGAACTGGTGGATCTCGAGTGAAGGATCCAGTTGATCTTTTGATAGCAGCAACAAGATTCTCAGGGCATTTTTTCTTGGAATCTGCTCAAGTCTAGATTTTTGTTCCCCTGATCCCTTAGCTATTACCTCGGTGACAATAAGATGCAGAATTTCAAGAATTAAGGAATATTTTCCCCCAGGTACTTCTACTTCTGACCTGCCATACTTTTGAGAATTGCGGGAAGAAGTCCAGTAGGAGGAGGAGCCCTTCAATCCTTGAAGAATCAGAGAGAGCTCCTTCAGGCAAAGTGGGAACATACAAATTGTTCTGTTCCTTCTGCCTCTGATTCTGCATAGACTAGAAAGCCCCAGGAAGAGCGGAATGTTTGGCTAGGTGGGGGAACATCCCTTAGCAGCCCTTTTTCCTCAGCTACGTTTCCCTCTTCTCCAAATTTCTCCCTGGCCCCTCAAGGGTGCTCAACCACAATGGCATGCGGTTGAATAGACACCCCTCCCCAGGGATGGGAGGAGAAAGCCAAACTGTGTTTGTGTCCCACAGGAGCCGCCTGGGCTGGGTCCCTGAAGCTGCCCTGACCTCCCCATGAAACAGCCAGCCTTCAAAGACCTGGAGACGATCCTGGGCATTCAGGCTGACTGGACGCGCTCTGTCCTGGGGCCATTGGAGGGCTTCCTTATTCTGAGTAGCAATAAAAAAATACTTAGGGTTGATGTTAATCTAGCCCAAAGGTGGTTTTTGTCCATTCCTTGAAATTATTCTAACTAGAGCAGCTGGAGTCAAGCATGGCCAATAAGCCTTTCCCACCTAAATATCGCAGAGGTGTGTAACTCGTCAAATCGGATAGTATTTCAAGAGGAGGTTTACCAAAGGGTACTTTTATTGCATAAAGTGTGTGTGTGTGTGTGTAAGTGAGGTTTCCATACAAGGTTCTTGGTAGGTGAAACAGGGGAAGTAGCTTCCTCTTCCCCCCCCCCCTGGCGGAATGAAGACTTTGGGAAGGATTAATCAGCTTCCTGTGCCGGCTGCTGCTGCTGCTGCGCATGTGACAACAAAGGACACAAAGGGATGAAGGCGAAGATTGCCCGCTCGGTGTCTTGTGTCTCTGTCTGTCGTGCTTGGCATTCACGGGAGGGGGGGGCTCTGCCTCTTGCTCCTGCGCCTCACCTTTGTTTGGGGACGCTGAGGAAATCCGAGGGCTCGAAAAGAAAGGCCCGCCTTCCAAAGGCAATATGGCTGTTCCCCAGGCTGGCTTGACGGGACCCCCAGATTGCCGGGAGAGTTTTTCATCATATTATTGTCTGTTCTCTGCCATCCGTGCACACACACACACACACACACACACACACACACACACAGTGTTCAAAAGGTTTTTATTAAAAAAGGAAAGAAAAAAGATAAGAGGACCCTGACTCAGCCGGAGGAGGCTGATGAGGCTAGGCAGGAACGGTTGGGCTCCACTCAGTTTGAAGGAAGATGGAGGGGCGGAGGCGGCCTTTGCTGGTCAGGAGGGGCCAACTTCCACTGGAGGGGAATGGAGGGGTGCTGGGGCAAAGAGTGGATCGTGGTGAATTCTTGTCTTCTGCTCCTAGAAGGGCAGGTCCCGGTGAGCTTCTAGCTCGACCTGCATGTTGGGTTTGGCATCCTAGCAGAAAGTAACCCTTTCCCACTTAAAAGCCTCTAATTCCAACCATAGAATTGTGCAGCTGCCAATGAGCAGTTGGGCGTCGTCGTCTTTGTCTCCTTCAGGTTGAGCCTTGGAAATAACCTCCTCCTCCTCCTCTCCCTTTTCAGATCTTTCCAGGAACAGATTTAGTGAAATCCCTCCAGATGTGTGGCAGTTTGCGCCACTTGAGACCTTGAACCTGTATCACAACTGCATCAAGTCCATTCCCGAAGCCATTAAAAACCTACAGATGTTAACATATCTCAATATCAGGTGGGCGCATTTTCCTTCGCCTGGTTTCTCATCAGGGCGCCTTCTTGCTCAAGACGACTACAAAAATACTTGCTGCTACAGGCAGGCCAGAGATGGTCAGAAGATGAACGTGTATAAGGGAACCTACCTTGGTTCCTGATATTCCTCTTTCACATTAGGAAGTTTGAGATGCAAATGTCATCCCTTCGTATTTCAGTTTCGGTTTCTGGGAGTTCGGTGGATGCTGAAAAAGAACCCAACTTTTCGTCTTGTCTTCTGGTGGGAAAGCAGCTGAGCTGACCACAGAACTAGAGAGCAGCCTTTTTGGTCTCAGTGAAAGGAATGTTGCTCTGTTTTGTGGCTGCTGCTCTCAGATTTATTTTTGGTTTAGAGCACCAGGCCTCCTTTCCCCTTAGGCTGTAAAGGAGGCGCAGAAAGTGAAACGCCCGGGTTCATCCCAGGTTCTAGGCAGCTTAACAGCAGATGACAAATTAGCACCAGAGGAGGAAAAATGAAAAGCAGGAAAAAGAGGATCAGAGAAAAGTGAAGCTGCCCCTCAACTCCACAAAACTTGTTCAGGGAGGAGAGCAGGGCGGGGGGTGGGGGAATGTGGGAAGAATTTGCAAAGCCCTGTTAAAGCCCTGTTAAAATTTAAGCTTTTGCAGAGGTTGCGTATTCTGCTTCCGCGTTTGCACACGAGATGAAACGCATTGCTGTGGAAATACCCCACTTGGATATTGTGATCCACCAGCAGGAATTGTAACCGAAGAGCTGAACGCCGAGACTCTTTCTAAATGGAGCCCAGAGTGGTTCTAATGGCTTCTGCATCTCTTGAACGCAAACAGTTGGTAGCTGCCAGATATTAATTAGCCCTCCATGTCTTCCTTCCTCCCTAGCCGAAATCTCCTGTCTACATTGCCAAAATACCTATTTGATCTGCCGCTGAAAGTTTTGGTCGTCAGCAATAATAAGCTGGTGTCGATTCCTGAGGAAATTGGGAAGTTGAAAGACTTAATGGAATTGGTACGTGCCGTTGGCTCTGTCCTTTGTCACCCTGGACACATTTGGCTTCTCTCTTGTTTGTCAACAGATTGAACTGCACCCTAAGTTGCCTAGAACAGTAATGGGCAGGCTTCAAGCTTTCCAGTCTGGTGGCCCCAAGTTCACAAAATCTGGTTGATTTCTTAGCTTTTGTTGAGTCAATGTTTGTTGGTTTGTCTCAGTGTGTCTCTGTCTGTGTCTGTGTTAGAGAGGTGGTGGTGGGGGTATTGAGTTATTTTAACTCCTTGTGAATGCCTAGATATGTCCATACAGGTTTTGGGCAAGTTTTTTGGAAGTGGTTTGCCCTTGTTTTCTTTTAGGGCTGAGAAGGCGTGTCTGGCCCAAAGTCATCCAACTGGCTTCATGCTTAAGGCGTGGCCAAAGCCCGGATCTCTTGATCTCTGGCTACAAGAGAGAGAGGCCTTTTGAAACCTTTTCCCTTTGAAACAAAAACCTGATCTCAGAGACTCCTCCTCCAGGCCTTCCTCTCTTCAAGACGCACCTTCCCTTGGTTAAGCCATTCAGGTCAGGAAATGCTTGTGTAACTTCGGGGTGTTCTGTTCTTTTCCGTTTCCTACCTTAGGACATCAGCTGCAACGAGATCCAGGTCCTTCCCCAGCAGATAGGAAAACTGCACTCCTTAAAAGAACTCAACTTAAGGAGGAACAGTCTCCACATGTTACCCGATGGTAAGCAGTTTTCCATCCTGGGTCTCCAACCTGCGCCACTTTCCTATGGGTGGACTTCCAGAAATCCTCAGCCAGCGTGGCTGACTTGAGGCGTCCTGGGAGTTGAAGCCCACAGGTCCTAAAGTGGCCAAGATGGGAGATCTTTGATTTGGACACACGTCCCGTAATGTCTGAAGGCCGTTCTCTTCCCCCTTTGCAATTAACAGAATTAGGGGAGCTTCCTTTGGTCAAGCTGGACTTCTCTTGTAATAAAGTCACAGAAATCCCCGTCTGCTTCCGGAAACTGCGGCACTTGCAAGTCATCGTCCTGGATAATAATCCAATGCAGATCCCGCCGGCCCAGGTGTGTCGATCCCCCTTTTCTTCCCTTCAGAAGTGCAGTGGGGACCTTCAGCTTCATCCTTCCGTGGGTTCTGGGATCCACTGGGTCCCCTCATCTGACGGAAGCCCCTCGTCTACCAGATGCTTCTCAGGGGTTCCGTAGCCGGAGTGGGCCCGGTCTCTCTCTCTGGGGCCCTGGAAGGTTCTTTCTCCTGGAACCCCCAAAGCTCGTGTGCCAAATCCGCTTGTTTCCTAATTCGTCACCTCCCTGCATGAAGGTGATGAGCAGGTTGGGCTGCTCAGCTGTCCCAGGAATAAGTCGGTAGTAGTTTGGGGAGGTTTGCGTGAAGCTGTTGTCAGTCCACACACACACTCACACACACACAGAGCCAGACACACCAAAGGCAGTGGAGGAGTTCCAGAGGTCAACCTAACTGACTCAAATTCCGTTTTGGTTTCTTTGCTGTCTCTTTCCTAACAGATCTGCTTAAAGGGCAGAGTGCACATTTTTAAGTTCCTCAGTGTCCAGGCATGCCTGAGAATGGATAAGAAGCCGGATTCCCTGGATCTGCCTTCCCTGGGGAGAAGGGCCCCTTCCCAGCCGCTCACCGACAGGTAAAGCCGCCTTCCCTTCTCTCAGAAGGCAAAGACGGAGCCTGTTCTGAGTTCCACTCACGCCAGGGACTTCATCCACCGTCCCATTCCTGGCCCTGCAGCCACTGGCTGCGCTCCCCGTTTTCCCTGCCCTGCCTGCCTTCTCTTTTCCCCTGGCGCGTCAGGCAACACTGCTGAGGCAGAGCTGGGTGAGCTTGCTGGGCCTGGGAACAGGAGCTGCATCTCTTCTGTATGGAGGAGAGCAGGCCTCTGCACCGCTTGGTTTCAGCCAGCTGCAGCAGCCCGTCAGTGCATCTAAATCGGTTTAGGCTGCTCAGTCCTGGCCTGGGTCTTCAGCACCTCTGACTGCGGGCCCTGCTTCCCAATCACAGTTTGTTGAAAGGAACCAGGCCAGGCTGGAACCGGGAGCTCCAGTCATCTTCAAAACTGTGGCAGAACACGAGAAAGGGACTCTTTCGGGGCCTTGAACTGACTTACTCTTGTCTGCTAAATCAGTTTAGGGTTGGATCTGAATTGGGTTCCTTGGAGATCGTGAATGGAGTGCAAGGATGTTAGGTCCAGATCAAGGCGAATGGGCCCATAATAAGAGAATGGAGGCCCGTTGCAGCCCAGCCATAGACTCACCTCAGCAGAGCCACGAACTTTAAATATCACTTCAGTGTGGCTTTCCTCATACCCACCAGGCTTGAATGGATCTTGGAATTCTCTTTCCACCCACTTGTATCCAGAACAAGGAGGAGTCTGCCATCTACTGCCCAGCCGACTTCATTATATTTTGAGTCGGAGCGGGAAGAACAGCAGCGCACACTTTCTCTTCAGCAAAGAACTTGGGGGATAGCTCTTTGTTTCCTCCTCTCAATTTCCTGTCTCTGGGAAATTTTTGCTGTTCTTGGAGGAACTACAAATTTCAGCCAGTCTTTTACTACCGTCGCAGGCCAGAACAAGGGAACTGAAAATAGTTTCCTAGTGTTTGTAACCAATGTTCTTCTCCATTACAGCATAGAAGACTTTTACCCCAATAAAAACCACGGCCCAGACTCTGGAATTGGAAGCGATAACGGGGATAAAAGATTATCGACTACGGAAGTAAGTCTGCCCTTTTTTACATTGTAGAAAAAGAGAAGACCTGGGTGTTTTTCGTTCCTTTTCCCCCCTCAGTTTTGGGATGGAGATCTCTCTCTCTCTCTCTCTCTCTCTCTCTCTCTCTCTCTCTCTCTCCTTGAACTACCTGATAATTGTCTGATTAAACCATTGCAGCCCATTTAATTAACACGATGTGTTAGAAGTTACTCTCCGGCACAGTGAAGTTGTATGCGTCAGGCTGTCCTGATCTGGTGGCCTCAAGTGTATTGCGACTTCACAACTCTCCGTTGTGTGTCCCGCTTGCACAGGAATTTCATCCGCAGGTTGCTGGAAAACGCCACATTAACTTAGGCTGCTGATTTGATAGCAAAGGGGAAAAAAGGGGAAGTCAAACGTCCCTGAATTTTTTTTTTTACTTGTTAGGCACACGAAACTAGATCCAACTGAAGCATTTCTGGATGTGTTGTGAGTTGTGGCAACTATTGACTAACCGAATGAATGTCTGACTTGGATGCTCTGGTCGGGGTCCCAGCGTCACACGGGCCTCCTGCAAAAAAGTGGTGCTGCCATGCGTCTTCCTCAGAAGGGATGAATGCGAAGGGTTTGTGATGTTCTCCCCTGTATTTCCTCAGCCGTCCGACGATGACACCGTCAGCCTCCACTCGCAGGTGTCGGAATCGACAAGGGAGCAGACTCTCCGGAACGACCATCAGTTGCTAGGGAACAAACCCGAGATGCACAAAGGTAACGTCCTCCATCCAGGTGCTTTTGGGGCGGACGTCCACATGTCTCAAAAGTCACAAAGGCTGAGAAGGACCTGCCGCTGATTAGATGCCGATGGAGAGAAAAAGTAATTGAAAAAACATGTGAATGTGCAGAAATGAATAGGTTAACATTAGAAATTAAAGAAAAAGAAGAACCTGAAAGTTACACGGTTTATAAATGGACTTGTTTTATAAATGGCTAGGAAATAAAATTAATTAAAAGAGATTAGACGTATTTATAAAGCAATAGGAGAAATGAGTGTAATAGACATACTGAATATTACTTATAAATATGGGAACGTATTATTATATTGTTATACCGTTAAGAAGAAGAGTATTAGTAATTGTTAAGCACATGAAATATGTACCTAATCGACACACGATTGAAATGGAATGGGTTTATTGCACGTTAAAAAATTAAAAAAAAAAAAATTAAGGAGAAGGACCTGCTTACAGTCTTAGAGACAGAAGCTTTTGTACGTTCAATCTAACCAAATAGATCTCCTTTTCCCTTTTTTTAACCAAATCCCTAGATCCTGATGTGTGTGATTACCTGGATCCCAGCTCAGAAGACGTGGCTGCGTGTGACCAAGGAGAGGCCCAGACTGGATCGTCCGTCTCGTACATTAAGGTAGCCACATCTTAAAAAGCAGTAAGACGAAGGGAATGAGTCGCGGAGACTTTCTGGATCTAAAGTTAAATACAGTGGTTTCTGCACACACACACACCCTTTTTTCCTCTTTCCTCTACCTCCAATGTGCTGTGAAAGGAACGTGGAAAGCCAGCTGAGAAGCCGCAGAAGAGGGACCCACGTGAAGACTGGCGTGAGGAGAAGAGGTGGGTCCCTCGCAAACCCGGTGGGGTTTGGGGGTGGTCTACCGGGGACCGTTCACACGTGGGATCTGTTTGGCAGAAGTAGCTAATCTGGGTTTCCCAACCGTGGCAACTTTTAAGATGTGTGGACTTCAACTCCCAGAATTCCCCAGCTAACATTAGCCTAGCTGGCTAGGGAATTCCGGGAGTTGAAGTCCACACATCTTAAAAGCTGCCAAGGTTGGGAAACCTTAAATCTTCTCCAACGAGAAATGATTGATTGATTGATTGATTGATTGATTAGCACCCGGAAAGAAAAGGTGCTGGCAGAAGAAGACGATGATCTGAAGGAGGTGACCGACCTGCGGAAAATTGCAGCTCAGCTTTTGCAGCAGGAGCAGAAGAACAGGTGCGACCCTTATGGCAAGCAGGGGACCTCAGTGAGGGTCTGCCCTGACCCACTGCTTGTGTGGCATCTTAAAAACATGCCCCGTCCAAGTTGGGAAGGAGAAAAGTTAGTTTAGGGCCAATCCGGCTGCTACCAATGGGTCCCCAACCTTGGCCGCTTTGAGACTTGTGGACTTCAACTCCCAGAATTCCTCAGCCAGTTTTGCTGGGAGTTGAAGTCCACAAGTCTTAAAGCGGCCAAGGTTGGAGACCCCTGCTTTAAAATACGCACCTCGGTCCTTTATAACGGTCGCTAAAATGGATCCCGGAAGCCGGTGGCCTTTGCCCTCCCCAAAGAGCTCCGGGCCTCTTCGAAGGATTATCTCCCACAGCTTGGGCGTAAAGACCATTTTTGCCTTCTCTTGCCTTAACCATGTTCCACTCTCGTCTTTCTCTCTTCCGCTGACTTTACTAACGGCTCTCCTGTCCCTCTTCACGGCTCCCTTCCTCCACCTTGGGGTACGTGGCACACGAATTCAGACGGAGGCCCTTAAGCTATAGAGCTTCCTTCAGTGAAAGGCTTTTCCAGAGGACCAGGGTGGCAGGACGCGCCTCAAGGTACTTGGGACTCGAGGTACCTGGGGTGGGAGTCCAGCCCATAACAACCCCTTGGGGTGGCAGTTGTGGTGTAACGGGGGAAGATGGAAGAAAAGCTGCAAAGGGCCCTGAACTCCCCCTAAGAAGCCCAGTGGCCACCTTAGAACATGGACTGCTAGGGACCTCAGAGGTCTTCTAGACTAACCTCCTGCTCAAAGCAGGAGACCTTAGGCCAGTGGTGGCTAACCTTTTTGGGCTCCTGTGCCAAAAATTGTGTGCGTGCTGGCGCTCGTGCGCTCACATGCCAGCACCCAGAAGGCAATGTACCCCCTGTGCATGCGTGCACAATCCCCCCTCCCTCCTTTACCTGCACTGCGCCTCACAGCTGATTTTTGTCTGGTTTGAGGCCTTTTTCAGCCTCCCAGAGGCTTGAAAAAAGCCTCTGCAGGCCAAATAGGCCCATTTCGTCACTTCCGGTATTAACAGGAAGTCACCAAACAGGCCTATTCGGGCTGCAGAGGCTTTTTTCAAGCCTCTGGGAGGCCGAAAAAGGCCTCAAACCAGACAAAAATCAGCTGTGAGGCAGGCACATGCGCAGTGAGCTAAGTTTGCCTGACGCTCGTGTGCGGGCACAAACGGCTCTGTGTGCCACCTGGTTCGCCATCGCGGCCAATCCGGTCGAAGGGTTGCCCACTCTATTTTGGAAAACCTTCCCTGGATGGCGCACCCACAACTCCGGGAGGCAAAGTTGTTTGTCTGCCTCCGTCGTAGAAATGGGATTGTCCCCCGCGCGTGGCCCAAAGGCCAGCCTCCGTGGTATGGGCAGGGGCCTCCATTGCACCGTCACGTTCGCCCTCTTCACTTGGGTGACCACATCCCTGTTTGGGGGATTTCCCGCGTAAACCGCACCTTGGGGGAAAAAAGAATACCCACCTCTGAGAGGGATCCTGAGGGATCTGCCACCCAAATTGTGAAGTGTGCTCCTCTCGAATTGTTACCTGGAGACCAGATTCCGGGCCCTTAAGGTAGAGCTCCATGCCGTTTCGGGGCGAAAGAGTCTTGGATGGGGTTTGGAGGAAAGGAGGCTCTTCAGTGATCTACCCGTGGCCATTTCCTGGGGTGGCGGGGGGGGGGGGGGAGAACGACCCTGCTAGCCAGCTGGGAAACCCCCTGTCCTCGGTCCTGCAAGACAACATGGAGGACACTCAGCCCTCCTGCCACTCTTCTGCCCTGACTCGGGTGGGATCCGGTTCAGAGGGGGAGCCCCTGTTCGCTTCTCGTCTCTCTCCTCCGCCTTTCCTGTCACCCTCCTGGCTCCAGGCTCTCTTTCCTTGCTCTTCCTTCGCTCGTGACTTTGCTCCTTCTCCAGTCCCTCTCCCAGGCGGTCCCGCAACCTCAGCTGGACAGCTGGACCAGGGCTAAAGGCCAGACTGGGGGGTGGCAGCCCAGCCGGGGTCTCCTCCACGAAGGCTTGCGGGGCCTCAGCTCAGCATAAACCTCCGATCAGATCGGAGCTGAGCCTGTGTGTCCTTCGGGGGCCTTTTTATTGCTTTTAGACTTCTGAATCACTCCACCCCAACAAGCGCAAGAAACCGACCAAAACAGACCGTGGACACAGAAAAAAGGTACGCAGTGCGTGTGTGAAATAGATGGAAATCATTTGTGTGAAAAGATTTTGCAGAGGGGGGCCGAAACCAAAGGGTCTCGGGGGGGGGGCACCGTTACTCTTTGAGAACTGGTCCTGCCGCAGGGAGTCCGGAGCTGTGCAGTTGGTGCAGCCCCCACACCCCTCCCAGAAACCCTTTCGCACCAATTATCTGAATAGGATTTCCCTCTGTTAAAGGAAGCAGGTTTTTACAGGAAAGGGATCGGTCTGTAGGTGGGAAGTTGGGCCCCCGTGGAATTTCCTTCCAGTTTCTCCTCTCCTTTGAGGGCACAATGTTTGCTTCAACGCAACTTAAGAATTCCTTCTGCCTTCACATTTCCAACCCCTTTCTCTGCTCTGGACTGTTTGAGAAAACAATTTGTGTTGCTGCCTCACTCCGTCTGTTCACCCAGAGGAGCAACACCTGTTACATCTTCCAGAAGTTATGTCGGCGAACGTTTAAGATTTTTATAATTCCCCACATCGTTTGTGCTTTTCTTTGGTTTTTTTTTTTTTAAACGAGTCCTACAATTCATAAGTTATTCAGTTATAAATACATATTGGTAGTAGTATTTCATGTCAGATTAGAAATTGTCTGCCCTGGTCTTAGGAAACAGTGAGAAAAGCTGCACATTTTGAGTGAAGAGCCGCATATATTTAACAAAGGAAGAAAGAGATGTTTTTTTTTTTTTAAGCTAACAACTTTGTGTTTTGTTATGTTTTATGTTTTTCTGCAGCCTTTCTGCAGATGAAGCAAATTCTCCGTCTTCCCCCTGCAGCTGGCAGGTAACGCAGAGACGAGAAAGCATTAGATGAGATTAGATGAGTTGGAAGGGACCTTGTAGGTCATCTAGTCCAACCCCCCGCCCAAGCAGGGGACCCTACACCATTTCTGACAAATGGCAGTCCAATCTCTTCTTGAAATCCCGCATCTCCCCCTGGGCAGCCATAACATTTGATTGCAAATGTTTCTTCGCTACCATGTTTGATCGCTCTTTTATAGATTTGGTTGCAAATGAGCTGCCTACACTGGTTGAAAGTGCACCCGGCACCAGATAATTGGGTGGGATTCCTTTACGCCATCTGTTGTGCGGTGTGGTAGTTGTGGCCGATTGTGTGACGTTCCACCATTGTGGAGCATTTGAACGACTACTCCCCCCCCCCCCCTCCAAATTCTGATCAGCTTGCTGTGAGGGAAGCTTGGACAACGTTAATAACGTTGGATGAAGAAATGCAGCCTAAACACTTCGCGGTTTGCTTTCTTTTGCTGGACATGCTTATGCATTTTCCCCTCGTCCATTTAGTGCTCCGGGAGAAAACAACAGTTGTCCTGTCCCAGCAGTGAGATCTGCAGCGGAATCCCTGCAGTTTTGCCTCAAGAGCCATACGCCCTTTTGTGGCGTTTGTGGACTTTCAATACAAACCCATTGCGCAGTGTAGTGTTTAGTAAGCAGGTGAATTCACGAATTGCATCAACATTTATCAGCGAATAGGTAGATCAATAGATGGAAGAATACGTCACCTAGTTGACTAGTTTTTTCTTGTTAATGTCAGTACTTCGATTGAATAATAAAATGAAGCCTAATGAAGCCTTGCCAACCCTATAACCCTTGTCAGTGTAAATGCTGATCGGTTCGTGCACGTGGTTTTATTCCACTTTCCACTCTTTGCAAGGGCCGCTCCTCTTCTTGATTGGAAGTGAAAGCTCTTAATTGCTCTGAGCAATAAGTTTGACCGAGAACCTGAGTGAACACCAGGCATGCAAGATCTCCGTGACTCGCCTGCCTTCTGAATTTTATTTATTTGTTGATTGCCTTGATGGCAAAAAGAAAAGCTGGAAGGCTAGTTTAGGGAAAGCGTTGCTCGTTTCATTGGAGGTTTGGGGCGATCCTGATCAACTTAACAGATTCGAAGCCTTACAGGTTGCTTTCTCTCCGCAGTCTCTGGAAAGCCAGACGGGCCACCCGGACGGCCCCAGCTGGCCAGATGTGCAGCCGGTAATCTGGCAGAACGAGGAGAGGCGGCGAAGCAAGCAGATCAGGAGGGAGTATTTCAAAGTAAGCCCCTTCCCCCCACCCCTTTTTTTCTCCTCTGCCTGCCAACTAGCCTAATACCAGTCTAAGAAAATAAAACCTTTTCTGAAAGTGTCAGAAACCCCTAAAAGCGACTTAAGTCATGTTTGCGATCATTTTTCTTGGGAGGAAAAATTAACAAGAATAAAAACTTTTAAAAGAAAAAGAAAATTGGTGAGAAAAGAATAGAGAAGTGAAAGAGAAAGAGAAGAAAAGACAATTTTTTAAAAATGGCCTCCAGTGTTCTTTACAGCAATTATAAATGCGTTTGAATTTTTATCTCCTCTCTTTTGAGTTTAGATCAAAACCGCCTTGCTCCCATAATCAAACCCACAAATCACATACTGTACATATATATTTTTTTGCCCTTTTCAGTCCATAAAAGGTTTCCACCTCCTGCCTTTTAAAACGCCTGTAAGCAACATTGTTTTTCCGCCTTGAACAGCAAGCTCAGTTACACCTGATAAACTGAAACAGGTTTAAAAAAGTCTGTCTGGCAGGTATTTTTTCATGCAAGCCAGGCCTTGATGGAATTGAAGGTGGTTTCCAAACATTATTGTAAAATGGGAAGCGCCTGAAAATGTTCCACGGGTGGCATTCATGTACACTGAATGATCAGATCGATCTCTGTCATACAGAATAACGCACACAATGGAAATGGATCTAGGGGGAGGCTGGAGGGATAATAGTTGGTGAGCATCGTTCCTTTTTGACTGAGAGACCTGGGTGAAAGGAAGCCAGGGAAGAATTCACCTGATCTCTGGCTCAAGAACCTTCTTCTCGGGGGTCAGAGAAGACCTGGGGTTTAGCGAAGAATATTTTTTTTACAGGGGTAGCAAAAATAGGGCCTCTCTGGCCAGGCCCCGTGGGAACGTTGGCACTCACAGCCACAGGGCCTTGAGAGAGTGAGTGGTTGGGGAGCCTGGCTGAAGCCTTTTACATCTGCAAGTCCTCTGCATAAGGATTTAAATAGAGGAGCAGAGTTGGAAGGGACCTTTGGAGGTCATCTAGTCCAACCCCCCCGCCCAAGCACTCTTTCTGTCAAATGGCAGTCCGGTCTCTTCTCCCATAAGGGACAGAGAGCTTGTTATAGTGGGGTCTGCAAAGCCAGAAACTAAGGGGGCCTGCTAGGTAGGGAATACATTATTTGGAAGAGCAGCAGAGTTAATCCTCAAGGAAAGGCACCTAGGACCATTATGGGAATATACACCGATATAAACATTTCTCTGGAGAGAGAGAGCTTGTCGGTCATGCAGTTCTTCCTCTGGTAAACCAAATCCAGTTCCTTATGCTGGTTACTGAGCCTAAGTGTTGCACGTGGCCTCCTGACCAGCATTTTAAGCCCCCAAGGGAGCGCCCTGGCACAAGGCCAGCCTAGCCCCGGGTCTCTCTCTCTCTCTCTCTCTCTCTCTCGGAGTGGATTGGTGATGTGGCGAGAGGAGGAAGCAGAGAGTCGAAGTGATTAAACACACACAAACAGGCTTCCCAATCTCTTTTTCAGTACAAGTCTTCGCGGAAGAACTCCAGTGGAAATGAAAACGATGAGGTAAGGGAGGAGTGGAAGAGAAAACGGAACTGAACGGTGGTAATCAAGGATTCCGTAACACCGTCCTTTGCATTGTCCTCCCGATGCTCACAGGCCAAGGTGTTTCCCTCCCCACTTGAAGCAATAACGCCTGAGCATAATTTACACCGACAAAGCCCACGAGTTCAATATGGCTTAGAGCCGCTTGATCATCTCATGGACGCCTCGAGGCTGCTGAATATCTCCCTTGGCCTGGCTAGGAACCGGTCTTAAATATCGCCTGGATTCGTACAGCGCCCTGCCCTGCTTTCAACGTTGGGTTTCTATGAAATCGGTGCCACCCTGAGATCTGCTGTAGATTGTACACACTTTAATAAACAACCAGGCATCGAAATAAGGAAGATCTCCTCTGCTGCAAGAAATGTAGATGTTATT